AAAAAAAGTTTCTCAAGCCTCCAATCCCAGCACTTTGGGAGGCTGAGGTGGGAGGATTGCCTGACTCCAGGAGTTCAGGAACAGCTTAGGCAACATAGCAAGACACCGTCTGTACAAAATATTTTTTTTTTTAATTAGCTGGGCATGGTGGCGCATGCCCAGCTAATTTTAAAAATTTAAATTTAAAAAATTGCCCAGGCTGATGTTGAACCCCTGGGCTCAGACAACTGTCTCTCCTCAGCCTCCCAAAGTGCTAAGATTACAGGTGTAAGCCACTGTGCTTGGCTAAAATTTATTTTATTTTATTTTATTTTGAATCAGGGTCTCACTCTCTTGCCCATGCTGGAGTGCAGTGGCACAACTATGGCTCACCACAGCCTCAAACTCCTAGGTTCAGATGATCCTCCTGCCTCAGCCTCCCAAGTAGCTGGGACTGCTTTTGGGCATCTCAAAGTGCTAGGCTTATAGGTGTGAGCCATCACGCCCTGCCTCATACATAAAATTTCAGGCTGGGTGCGGTGGCTCACACCTGTAATCCCAGCACTCTGGGAGGCTGAGGTGAGAAAATTGCTTGAGCCCAGGAGTTATAGACCAGCCTGGGCAAAATAGCAAGACCTCATCTCTACAAAAATAAAAAAAATTGGCCAGGCGTGGTGGCACACACCTGTAGTCCCAGCTACTCAGGAGGCTGAGGCAGAAGGATCACTTGAGCCCAGAAAGTCAAGACTGCTGTGAGCCATGACCATGCCACTGCACTCCAGCCTTGGTGAAAGAGTGAGACCCCCAACTCAAAAAAAAATTCACCCCCTTACTGTCAGTGTGTATTTTTAAAATACACATATTTACTTTTTTTAAGTAACAAAATTTGTACATATTTATGTTTTGATACATGTATACATTGTGAGTCGCCAACAACACTTGCCTACAGTAGATTATAGATAGCACGAGCCCATAACTGTTCTCCTGGCTTCCATCCTTGTCCTCCACAGTCTCAACCCAGTAGCCAGAGAGATCCTGTTTAAAGTGCGTGTCAGCTGGGCTGGTGGCTCAGCCTGTAATCCCGCGCCTTTGGGAGGCTGAGGTGA